AAAGCTTCCTGGTAAAATCAATTATGTTCTGCAAATTTTCCTTTAATTTTTTAAGAGTTTATGTTCTTCTCTAGCTTCTAACTTTTCGGTTTTTCATGATTTTAACACAGCTGTTAATCGATTGCTTGTCACTACGAATTATATTTTATTTAGCGAATTAAAGTGTTGATTTTTCGGTACCATGATTTGTATATTCTGGCCCATTTCCTTCTATAAAACGGAATTATGGGTCTGTAGATAATTTCTCCATACAGATCTGTCATTTGCCCTGTATAATCACCGGTTCTAAATCTACAATTTTTCCTAGTATCCGAGTCCTAAAACTATAAGGAAAGTAGGAACGTACGCAGTGAAGCACGTTTTCAGTTCACGAGCATTATATCAAGACATGTGCTTACATTCCACCACTCATTACCGAGATTACTCCTTACCCTAAGCCAAGCTCTCCTCATGGAGTGATCTTGTTGATTATTGTCATTAGATGCCGCCATTTCTCGCCTCGTAATAGCTGCGACACTAATGATCAAGAGCCTCTAAGTACAAACGCGTGATAGGTGGAAGATGGGTACACCTGACTGAAGTTTTGGGCTTTTCAAGTTATTCTATAACAGCTCAATGACAACACATTTTCTTACAGGCCTACTAACTTCTTGAGAAGATTACAGTCGCTCAGTTGATCAAAGAGTACACTATCTTTTTCGGACGTCGATTACCCTACAGTCATTAACCCGCCACTGGACTACATCCTTAAGCTGATGATCCAGATTACACCCTTTTATTCTATTTCTTTGTGATCCATTACAATATTTATCCTCCCACTTACACATTTGCTTAAAAACGTTGCCTTTTTCCTTTACGTTTTATGACCGTAATTTGTATTTAGACCTTACTTTCATGTTTCCATGCGGTGTACACGCCCTATTCATCTCACTCTATATGGTTTGACCGCGGTAATAACAATATTTAATGAAGAGTGAAAATGATTAAAGTTCTTGCATTATAATTTCTTCATTCATCTATTATAAAATTCTGTTTACGACTTAGGCCTCGTGGTCTGGCCCATTTCATAATTAATCCTAAAATTATGAATCCTTTTACTTATTTTGTAGAACGCGTTGAACGAGGGTTCAGACCGTCGCAAGGATAAAATCGCGAGGACGTCTGAATGAATGCAAATGCATCTGTATTGTCAAAATTCTTTTCCTTTACTCCAGACTTTCGTCCACCATTCTTTGTACATCGATTACTAGAAGGCAGATTAATCTCAGAAGCTTTCAGTGATGCTCGTATAAATCTATTATACTTGTCGATGGAGCCTTAATGCAGATATTCTGTTAGATGTAAGAAATTCATTTTTTTAAAAACTTTAATTAAAATCCTTTTCTGAGGCAAATCCGAATCAATATATGTCCAAGATGCAATTCAGTCCTCAGTACATTTTACCAAATATTATTGACTTGCTTAGCCTATTATCTCTTTCGCTGAAAAAAAACTTATTACGAAGGCATATGAAAATTAAAGGCAATTTGATTGTAAATTTTTACAAAATAATTGCATAATGGGCAGGTCTATGTCTACGTAACCGCCCAGGTTTTTAAATGCTTTTCTACAACATTATTTTTGTATCATCAAAATTAGTCTTTTTTTGGTTGGAGCTTAAGCCACTGTTACACTCCGTATTTCCAAAATCTGTGCTCATTACAGATGCAGCTTCATCAACGATGACTCTTCAGTTATTCCGAATATGTTCACAGATCTCCTGAAGATCAGCACATGTTAAAGGCTACTCAGCTGGAGGCCAAAACGCAGTTTGTCAACAACAGTGTTTTACCGTCCTCCGAAGCTCTGGATTCTCATTTTCTTTTTAAATTTCTGTAGTTTTCACAGCCTCTGACAAAAATATTCGGACTATAGTTGTCAGTGCATTTTGTCGTTGTAGCAGCCATATTAAACATTTCACAGTATTATAACGATAGTATCTGTCACCAATTTTCGTGTTTCAAGGCCACAGAAGGACTTCTTATCCTCTGACCGCTCTGTGTAAAGGATATCGAGAGAGAGGGCGGGAGAGAGGGATTAGGCACACTGCCTGATTTCCTACTGTAGGTCTACAATGAAAGTAACAAAGACCACTCTTGACATAATACTTTGATAACATTGCAATAGGTAGGACTGATACGGAATTAAGTCTGTAAGCACAGTGGTACCATGCGAGTACCATCTGCTAAAACTTCAGTGAACGGGTTTCTTACGATTCTGAGAGTAAACAGCAATTCATTCCCTTTACAGAATTAACAAATTTTCTTTTTATAATAGAGGCGTATTGTGTTTTCTTTGAAGTAGAAATTGAATTTTAAAATGTTATTTGGATAAGATTAATGCTTCAGAGGGTTAAAACGTCTGTTTGTTAGCTCTTGAACCTGTATTCGTTGTTGAACGAATAATGATGTGACAGCTTTGAAATGTTATTTGAGATATGAAAATAAAGACTTTAATACAGCACTGGGGGAAATCGTGAAAAAGTTTGTGCGGAAAGCTCGCCTGGTAACCGAGGCTTGAATAGAAGACTTTGACACGAGTATGTAATACGCAAAAATTCCTTTAATTAGTTTTTAAAATAATTGCGTTAGTATTTCGCATTTTATTAGAGCTGTTATCCAATCAGTTCCTCCCACAGTCTTTGTCATGACTCTGTGTTCGGTGTTCCGTACTGTATACAGCTTAGTAACACATATAATAAACATTATAGAAAGAAATTAAAAGATAAGTAAAAAGTACGTATACTGGGTTTTTGTTATTTAGTTCTTTTACAGAAAAAGAATAACTGTTTCGACTGGTTTGTTTGTTATTTAGCTCTTTTACAGAAAAAGAATAACTGTTTCCAAAAAAATATAAAAACTCGCTGTAAAAAGTAGTATTCACATAGCGGAATACTGAAAAGTAAGTTTTAAAATTTAAATCACAGTTTACATATTTTTATCCAAAAAAGGGAGATTTGAACTTTTTTCTCACTTTCAACTTTGAAGACATCATTGTACAAATAACAGTAAACTTTGCTTTTAAATTTTAAGGAATAAATGTCAGAAAAATGTTATATTAACTTGAATAGGATTATTTGAAGAAGTCATCGAAAAACATTGGATATTATGTCAATACGTTTGTAAAAACAATTTAAATGATTATGGAAACAGCTTGAATGTGGTTGTTCACCGAAACGCGTTGTGTTTGAAATATAATATCTCATTAGGAAATTGTGTAGGCGATAATAAGAATATGGCTGTTGGAATATTAACGTTTTTGGATTAACATAAATTGATCACTAGAAAACAAGAATAGATATCCAATTTTAAAGTAAAGATAACAACAGTGGGAGTTTGTGCTCCAGTTAGGAGTACGTAAATTTACAAATGTTGCATGTTAAGGTTTTGCATTTTTCGTGTATCCTTACGTTCTGTTATTTCAGATACGAATCTGTTATTACAAAATTGATCACACCAAAGATACACTGCAGCTTTTTTTAAACATTGCAGCATACACAAAATTTCAACTCCGGAAATAAACAATGTCAAGCGAATATCTTTTCATCATGACAGATCATTATCAAAATTTTTTAAAAATTCATTATTGAGTTATTCTTATAAATTACTTGGTTCTTAATGACAAAAATGGAATAACAGTGTTCATATATTGTAAAAATTATTTATTTACCGACCAGATTCATTAGAACCTTACTCAGTTTTTCTTGAGATAAAAGCTGATATTTCAGAAGGCGGCGGAATTCAGGTCTAAATAATCTTATTATCGCTCTGTACTCGAATAGCTTCAGTCTGTGTTACCTGCTTAATGTGGGAGCTGGTTTCACACCCACGAAAAAAAATTGGTAGGGCGTACATTATTTTCATGTGTTTGTTAATCTTCACGATTTCAGATAACAGGCGAGAATACTAGAGATTGTGAACTGCAC